GTATAGATGACAATCTTAAAAGTAGAAAACTTTGATTATAAGTCAGTATATTACTTCATGGTTAAAGAAACCAACATCTGCCTAACATAGAAAAGATGCCATTGAGGAGCAGTTTTCAATAAAAATGATGAAACTTATTTTCATCAGGTCTGCTAGATGTTTACATGATGCATGTTTCTGAGATTTTCTGTGTCACTCAGTAATAGAATAAGCATGGCTCAAAGAGTACACAAAACATTTAATTTAAGATCTTATATTTTATCAACTGATTCACGTACTAGATTCACTTGATAAAAACATAAATCACCTGTTAAAGTAATAAAAATTACAAAATTTGTCTTAAAATTGTAAACATGCCTTTTTTAGATTCAACACTCCAAAGTGAATTTTTAATTTAACTGTCTCATATTTACATGCATTCAGTTGCCTTATGCTAGGATTACTAAAGTTTGATAACCTTTGAGGTTGCACATACTTTTATCTTAATTTTATATAAGTATTTTTTTATTCTTTTAATGATGAGTTTCCTTCTTCTAGGCGTGTAGAAGCAGTAAAATTCGATATGACATTTATTGAGAGGAATGCCAGGAAGTTTAATGAACCAAGTAGTCAGATTGTAAAACAAGCTAGCATTGTTACAGAACTTTTACTTCGCTTTATTAAGTAAGTACTAGCATTAGAACTTTTTGAAATATGTAGCTCAGAAAAGTGAGTACTGAATTATTGAATAAATAATATTTTAAAAAAAGATGGAACAAATATATATTGTCAGGTGAGAGCACAAAGTACCATGTTTTGTGTGTATAAGTAATATTAATTTCTATTATATTTCAGCTAAAGCATTTAATCACACATTGTATTGATTATTGTTTAATAATGTTAAGTGTACAAGTTGTTGTTTCTACACCAAAATGTTGCATCAGAATATTTAATGTGGAAGTCTTATTTCCAGGTTTTTCAATGAACCTATTGTATATTAAAAGTAAAGAAGTCAAAATCAAGATTAAGTTCTTTATAGGATCTCGTTTTTTTTGATACATGATTATTGAATTTTAATTAATTTTTAACAACTAAAGAAAATATATGTGACAACTGATGTATTGGGATATTTGGAAGATTTTTTTTTTTTAGATTTTGTCCATTATATATGGCTTTACTTTTTTTAATTGGTTATTAATCTTTCATTCTTTATATTAATCTGGTTCTTGTTTGTTTGTTTCAGCACTACAGACTGTGTGGATCCCATGCAGTTATATCAAAAAATAATGGAAACACAACAGTTGCACACGTTCTTTTCAGAGAGTGATCTTGATGTCACTGTATCAGATAGTGAAGCTGAAGATGAGGTAGAAGAGGATGAAAATGCAGAACTAAATGATCAAAGAAAAAGAAAAAAGGTGTGTATTGGATGTAACTTTGTCATAAAAAAACAGGCCTAAGTCCCACCTTGATATAAACTGTCCTGAAGCTTTTACTGAAAAGCAATACAGCATAATATATCATAAAAGCAAATATACTAATAGAAAAAAGAAAACTTATTTGTTAATCATTGTAACTTGTTTAATTTTTGGCATAATATTTAACTAAACAAACACTGTAAAGTTACCTTATCCATTAATATTCTAAAACACATCTTCTTTGTCAATTACCTTGTAATAGATGAAAGGGTGAGGAAATCTATTATAAACAAATCATGTCTAAAGGGATAAGATTGGTCTGTGTCTTAAACAACCACAAAAATCTAGCTTGTGAGACAAAATTTACAATCAACATGAAAAAAAGGAACTTGTTCTCAGAACCTTTGCTGGACCAAATGTTGATTTAAAAAAGACATAAGTAATATTTTAACGTTTTCTGTCTGTTTGTTTTTGTTTTGTTTTTTGAATTTTGCGCAAAGCTACACGAGGGCTATCTGCACTAGCCATCCCTAATTTAGCAGTGTAAGACTAGAGAGAAGGCAGCTAGTCATCACCACCCACCGCCAACTCTTGGGCTACTCTTTTAACGTTTTCTACCAAAAAACATTAAAAATTTAACATAAGAATGAAACTTAAAGTAAAATATCAGCATTTTCAGATTTTAAGTCTAAAAAACGTTAGACATCATTTAACTTGGATTTCTGTTTGACCAAATGCTGTTTAAAATATTGGGAAGTTGTATTTGGGTTATTCTTAGAGATGCTAAAATTGTTTTGTTTGCACGTCATCAGACAGTTAATATCATAATGCTGATATTGTTATTTAATTCTGTTTCGTATAAGACGTAGTTTTCATTTAATTAAAGAAACTTGCATTCTCCTGTATGTCATCAGACTTAGAAACAGTACAGACTTTCTTCAAGATCAGAACTTCATGCACTTAATGCAGATATCATCTTAAAAAATGCTCTGGTTATTGTTTTTTAATTCCAGTGTAACTTTAAGCAATTAGTTATTGTATAGTGTGATACTGGTACCTTCAAAATTTTTCAATTATTCTATATTTTCTTATTTATTTAAGGTTTGGAATATGGAATAATGAACAGTTTTTACATTGAAATGCTTCCTATTTAAAACTACCACCAGAACAGAAAATATTATGATTTTTGTTTTTCAGAGTTTAGGAAAGAAACCTAGTAAACGAAAACGACTACAGTCTCGAGAATATACTTCCAGCTCATGGAAACAACAGTGCCTTGAGCTGTTAGAACTTATATTTGAATGTGAAGATTCTACTCCCTTCAGGCAGCCAGTTGATCAATCAGAATATCCAGTAAGTTAGCGGGGTATCAAAAGATGTTTAAATATTTAGTTAAACAAAAAAAATAAGAAAGGTGTAAGTAGTAAGACTTACTGGCAACATGGCTGATTATCAGCTAACTGTTATATTATTTCTTTAATATCTAATGTAGCAAGCACTCAAGCTCATCATCCCATTTACTCTATAAGGGATTGTTGAAACTTGTTTCACATAAGCCTGTGATATATATATAATTTCTAACATCAAATCTAATGAAAGAGTAGAAGTTATAAACCTTAAGTCTTTCACGGCACAACTGTAAAAATAGATGTTAAGTAGGTCATTTTGGTATTCTGCATACACTTTGCTACTAGTAACTACCACCAAGAAGCATTAAATTTAAGAAATCTTTTATTACATCAGCTTTTATGTATCTCTTTAAATGAATCAATGGAATGCTTCATTTATTGTTTATTGGAATCCTTTTTGCTCAACAAGTCTTTCATTAAATTTGTTTAATATGTATTATCTAGCAATTAGCAAATTAAACAAAAAAGTATGATAATTATTCCAATAGCGTTGATTTCTAGAATATTTTTGAAAGAATTATTTGGAAAGGGTTTATCATATTTTTTATTAATGATTTATTTTCAACAGGCAGGTAATGTATGGTAGAGGTCATCCTGGACTTTTTTTTTCATTTCTTTTAATTAACCATTAAGGATTTCATATCAGAAGTGGGTAAAAATGGTATTTTATTTCTTACTATTGTCTACCACAAATCACTATCCAGGAGACTTTTTGTTCAATATCAGAACTTGTAAGATGAGCTGGGTCGTAATGGCAACCTAAAGTCTAGTGATTGTATATGCACTACAAAAATCAACATCTGCAGTCAAGTATGATTCTGATCACAAATATTAGACATATTTGTTCCATATTGCTTCACCAGCTTTCAACATTTAACACTGTAACAAGGCATATAATTTATGTTGCAAAGATTTATGAATATAACTTTATAACATGATCCTAGGATAAGTATTTTAGTAATTTTGATTACCTCATTGGAGATAATGAACATTGGTAGATAAAAATTATTTGAAAAAAATCAATATTTTTACCTAGGAACTTGTTCTAGTAGAAATAGTACCACACAAGTTAAGCTATCTGAAAGTCTGTCATCGATTCCACATATCAATGTAGCATAGATGTGATTAAATGTTTTAGGCACCTTATTGCATTTTCATAGCCTTCATTATTAAAAACAGTCACAGTTTTTTTTTGCATTCTAATTTAAACCCTTCATAACAACTTTTTACCTTCTGAAAATACATAAAATAGTTAAGATTGCTGTAATGACAAAGAAAATAGACAATATTTTGGCCAAATAAAGTAAAATAAAATAGTAGGATAAGTTACGGTTAACTTAATATTAAGGTTTAAAAAGTCAAAACAAGTTCATTCTACTTAAAAAACAAAATCTACAGCCTGCACTTCAACACCTATGCTGGCTCTTGTTAAGATTCAAGCTTCCAGCCTTGTTCCTTACACTTATTTGACAGCCTGTAAATGTCAAAAAAGTTTAAGAAACAGGGCTGGGAGCTTGAATCATAATAAGAGCCAGTATAGGTATTAAGTGCAGGCTGTAGATTTTGTTTTCCTATTTAAGAAACTTGTCCATACAAAAATATTTACATTATTAGAGAGCTTTTATAATTTTCTCTTCATTTGTAGCCCTCCACTGGCTCAGCAATAAGTCTGTAGTCTTATAACACAAAAAACTGGGTTTTGATACCTGTGTTGGCACAACACAGATAGTCTATTGTGTACCTTTGTGCTTAACAACAAATAAACCTTTCATTCGTTAATAATATTCTTTTATAAAACCTCTGATTTTCGTAAAAATTCTTTCCGAAGAAACTTTACTGATACAAGTCCTTTCTTAAATAAAACTGTTTTATTCTTTCTGAATACAACTTTGCAATACACTTAATTTCCACAGTCACACTATAACAAATGCTATAATTCACAATGAACGGCTCACGTGCTCGACTCAAATCGTCAGTCTCTCTCTGTCTGCAGTTCAATTACACTACATTGTTGCCGTCACTTCTTACCGGTCTTATATGCACAAGAATACCGCATATCTAGTAAACGCTCGAGACTTCACGAACCGTCGAGAATATGACGTGTTACACTAGGGTCACGTGACCTCCGCTGTCGTAACAATATGTTATTGTGAGTTAGGTTAGTCTAATTTTAAAATTATCTATGCCACTTTTGTACATACTTGCAGAGCCAGACATAGAGTATCTCGCGGACCCTCTTCTATAAGTCAAGTAACAATTGTTCGACGTCAGAATATCATCGCACGCGTTCGCTCTTTGGCAAAACGACGCCAGCCCACTTCTATGTTTTTCCATTCGACTATCGCGTGCTTATCAAACTTTATCGTATCGATTTCAACACATGTAATCAACTTATATTCTCATTTATTGGTCATGGCACATAACTCAATATTTTATCGGATTTCAAACTTCAAGCGCGGGGCCTAAAGCGACAGCCAAGCTTGATTTGCTCTAAGGCTGGCGCTGTATACTCGGTATGGAATTCTTCTTTTGACGTTATATATATATATATAAGGAAAAAAACGTTAAAGTATAACTGACGCTCCAGGAACACAGCTGGTAAAATAAAAACATTTTTAAATATTTGAAAATAACACATCTTAAAACTCAAAGGAGGCGTGTAAGAAATAAAAAAAAATCAAAGCTATAAATGACACACTTTTCGTCAATCTCGGTTGATTTTCACAGGGTAAAGGAATTACTCGAACGTACTGGCTGGAAGATGAAAAAAACATGCCCAGTTACTCGATCCTGCCATGACTGGATTATGAAAATCAGGCTAATCAAGAAATCACCTTTGAATCATGTTACTAAGGGACTTTTGTGTCGCATTTCTCTGTTTATTTAGTCTATTCGTGTATTTTATTTTATTTTTGCTTACAGTGTTAACGTTTTACACTTCATGAGAGTTTATTACTAGTCTAAAACGACCTCCCCACCTTTTTATAATTTTTGGGAAATGGCTCTGGTAGCAGATTTCGCTGATAAAAAAAATATCAATCGTATCAATAAAATCCAGTTATTATAGGGTTATTCAGTTTAAGTCAAACTGAAATGTGTAATTTCATAAATGTAAGTAAAAGTAACCTGTTTTGTAACGTAGTAATTATTCGAATTTGATGTTAATGTGATTTTCTCTATTTCTCTTATTTATAACATATCAACCTTATGTGTAAACTTTAGGTTGTTTATTTTAGAGCAAAGCCACTTTGAGCTATCTGTCGTGGTCAAATCGGGGAGTTGAACCCCGGATTTTAGCGTTGTAAGGCCGTAAACTTACCGCTAACACAACCTGGGGACTAAGCTTTATAAACTATGTTTTAGAAATATCAGGTCATTATTGTGTGTCCCCAGGAAGTCTGAAGGCTTATAACGCAAAAAATAGGGTTCGATACCTGCGATAGTCAGAGCAGATAGCTCATTTCATATCTTTGCACGTAACAACAAAACAAACAAACATTATGGATCATTTCGCCTCCCGAGCGGTCCCTGAATTACCTTAAACACGAACATTTCATTGTCCGAATGTTTATTCCATGATTTAAAATTAGTCGTATTTCACCAGAACATTTTGACCTAATTTTCGACGTTTCTTCTAATCTAATTACATACTATGAGGTTAAATATTTTTTCATGCCTACATACAACTACCTATTCTTCCTGTGCATAATCAAAACTACAGTTAAGATATAAAAAAAATCCATGTGTTTAATCGAAAGTTGTACACGTTAATGAGTTATTCATGAGTGAGTATTGACCGTGACTTACATCTGCTTCTTCCTTTCGCCTGATAAATGAAAACGAAGTTTAAATGTACATAATTATTAAACAACTATTGCTTCGTGTGTATGTAATATTTGAATTGAAATTGGAGAGATAAAGCACAATTATTTATCAATGCTGCTTCGTTGACTTGTCTTGATAAAATAAAAATGTAATACGTGTAATAACTGACCGTTATTACTCTCTGTATGTTTATGTTGATAAAATGTACTGTATCAATGTTCGTACACTTAATTATATACAATAATTAACTATTTAATTTCTGTAGTTCATATTGGTGTATAGAAGACATTTTAATACTAAAAATATACGACTTTATAACACCAAATTGTTGTTACGGTTGTGTTTTAGTGAAACACACATGAAGAAGCTGTAAAGCGAAACGTCGAGTGTCCAATTAATGAAGAAAACAATTTGGTGTTATAAGGTGGTTTATTTCCAGTGTTAATAACTGATTGTTTTGTTTCGTTTTTGTAATTACAAGATTTCAGTAGAGAATGACTCGTTCCTTGTGAAACTTTGCTATTTTAATATGTAGAGTAAAAGGTAATTATTGTTTATAAATATGAAAATTCAGTACAGAATAACTCCTTGTTTGTCTGAAGGTTTGTTGTCAAGGTAACATTTAAAAGTATAATTAAAAAACTGGGTTAGAACAAAATAATTTTAGCCTGATAAAAAATTTCCGAAGGTATTTAAAAGATGGGAGAATTAAATATATGACCCAACAAATGATGGTAATGTTGTTGACGTTTCAGATCTAAACCGTTCTGCTAAAAAACTTTATTCTCAAAAGTACAACAAAACAGTTGTACAGCTTCTATTAACATGTGTACAGATCACAGGAAGTCTAAAGACATCATTGGGAAAAATATAATAACTAACCTAACTTAGGCCACCAGGGGATAATATTACTATTTGTTTTGTTATTAAGCATACAGCTACACAAAGTGCTATCTGTGCTCTGCACTCCACGGGTATCGAAACCCGGTTTCTTGCGGTATAAGACATAAGACATGCCGCTGTGCAACTGGGGGGCAAGGGTTAAAGTGTCTATATTGAACATGAGACGCCGTTCTTCACGTTTGTCTGTCCTTTGGAACAGATTTTGGTACCAAAACCCGACGATGTGAAAGGCAAGACATTTTGAAAGGAATTTTCAGTGGTAGAGCAGACTTTCGAAAAAGACCCAAATATTTTTCCGGAATCCAATAAATATCATCTACAAACAAAATATGAATATGTGAGGAAACACTAGTAATAAAAATAAGCATCTTTCTTACAGCCTGTAACGAAATTACGATTAAAAGTTCATTAAATAAAAAGTTTTACAGGTTTATTATACAAATGTTACATCAGCACAGTGTCACCTAGTTCCGGTCCAAATTATAAATCAGTCGAATTGACTGACCAAGTAGCGAGAGAGTTAACAATATGGAGTCTATCATTAAAGTATTTAATAACAAATAGGATTTGGTCTTTGAGCATTTGTTACAGACCAGCCTTTGTTTGGTAACTAAAAAATAGGAATGAAAGATTTGAGATGGGAATTATTTGAGAGAGTAAGGCTGTTTTGAATTTGGGCTAAGGGCCAAGGCTACTGGTGCAAAAAGGCAAATTTTGCTTCGGTGGTGGGGCAGAAAAAAGGTCCCACTGAAAGAAATGCTCCAATATTTAGTATGTTAAAAAATGAAATAGTGAAAGGTAAAGGTTAACGACTCGTTGGTGTTACTACTAATCATGTGACGACGATGTCCCTAAATCGTTCACTGACCATACGTCCAGTCCTACCAATGTATAGAATTTGACACAAGTTACAGACTATACAGTATATAACCGACTCTGATATACAAATCAAAAGTCGATTAATATAATGTTGACCCTTAAGCATAATAATCAGAAAACGGTTATCGATATGAGTACAAGTTACACAACGAGAATGGGGAATATTCAGAATTAGTGTTGTCTTTATCATCAGCAGTTGGAACGAACAAGGACACCACAGAGACGTGGGTTATTAGTGCAGGCAACATTTGGTTGGGTACGGAAAATATTCTTAGTTATAGGGTAGTTCTATAAATTATACAAATTGCCAAAGATCGATTTATTAATCTGACGAGAAACTGTGGGATTACAGAATGAGAGGTTTAGTTAATGTTGTTCTCGTTGTGTCAGTGAAAGGTTTCTAGTAGTGAAATGGATTCGGCTTGGTTACGGGCGTTGATAGTTGTAGAGGATGAGAACAGCGTATAAAGAAATAAAGAACTAATTGATTAGCTTTTTCTAAAGATTTTTCATCATTACTGGACAAACGACTGAGACGAAATAATTGAGAATACGGGACGGAACGTAGGGTAGAGTTAGTAAGACAGGAATCGTAACGTAGGGCAGAGTTAGTAAGACAGGAGTCGAAAGGTAGGGTATAGTTATATAACAGGAGCCGTAACGTAGAGTAGAATTAGTAAGCCAGGAGTCATAACGTAGGGTACAGTTAGTAACACAGGAGTCGTAACGTAGGATATAGTTAGTATGACAGGAGTTGTATCGTAGGCAGGAATCTGTAATGTGGTTATACGTAGTGACGTCAATGTCGAGGAAAAAAACGGTCTATTGAGAAACATGCTATATGAAGTTGAGGTTAAAGTTAATGAGGAAAGTAATAATGTTGTTAAAGGAAGGTTCCTCTAATTGAGGAATTGCTCCTTGAATACAGGAAGTTATATATTCCAAACAAACAAGGGTGAATACATGAAGTTATACATACCAAACAAACAAGGGTGAATACATAAAGTTATACATACCAAACAAACAAGGTGAGTACATGAAGTTATACATACCAAACAAACAAGGGTGAATACATGAAGTTATACATACCAAACAAACAAGGGTGAATACATGAAGTTATACATACCAAACAAACAAGGGTGAGTACATGAAGTTATACATACCAAACAAACAAGGGTGAGTACATGAAGTTATACATACCCAACAAACAAGGATGAATACATGAAGTTATACATACCCAACAAACAAGGGTGAGTACATGAAGTTATACATACCAAACAAACAAGGGTGAATACATGAAG